TGGGGGCAGGCTGTTCCATATTTTAGAAAACATGACTGTGAAAAAGTTTTCGCGGAGAGTTGATTTATAGGCGAATTGTTTGGGATCGTTCGAGGCTTTAATTTAGGGTTCAAGATTAAGTGAGAGCAACTTTTCCATAGTTTTTAGAAACGGAGAGGAAATAGCAACAGGTCTAAATTTAATACATGTTACAGCAAACCATTTGGTTCTGGGCTACAAGAAGGGTTCAGTGACTGGAGGCATTTTAGAACATCAGTTGTATTGAAACCAGGGAAGCAGGTTTCATTAACACTTGTGACACTAGAAAGCTCGGCATTTGTGGGAGAATGCATGAAAGACTTGTTTAGTGTACACACATCAAATGAAGAGGGAATACTGTTGTAATACTGGAGGTAATTAGATGCATAAAGGCGTGAGTTATTTAATATCCAAAAAGTAGATATGCAAACACCATAGTTTCTTAACACGCTGGGATTAATTTAAATAATTTATAATGAATCAATCTGACTCGGCGCTCAAATTATCCCAGGAAGTTCGTAACACATACGACCTGGAAACCTATAAACACCGTAGTTGTTCATCATAAAAATGTGGATATTAGATAACATCACATGCTTCAAAGGCATATTAGAAATAAATAAAAACTGTTTCTTCGCTCATTGTCAAGTGAACAGTCTTTCTGATGATGTCACTGCATATTAACAGATTAGTGAAGTAGCTATCAAGCATAAGTTACTACATTTACTTGTACTACAGACTTGGCGTTTAGCAGTATACAAACTTGCAGCTGGCTAAATAAGGCGACTTCAGCGTATCGAAAGGTACAGAATTATTATTCATCTTGCTAAATCCTATTTAGTTTTTACAATTTGCTATTGTATGGAAGCAGACGCAAGATCCTATGAATGACTTAAGTAACAGTCTCATAATACTATAGTAAATCTCCATCCCACTAACTGAGCTTAACATGCATTAATCCGAATTCACATATTACAAGATCCCATAGTATAGCGACGCACTAAATAAGTCCAGAAGAAGTGGAAGTCAATAGTATATTAAACATTTCATTGATTTACAAAAGACAATTCCGACGAAGTGTGTTCGCGTTAGTTTGACCGATTGACATCTTCGCTGATTTCATATATGACAACCTCCATATACCTGGAAAAAATAAGACCTATGTAACGACTAGCACAACAAGAAGTTATAAAAGCTAATTTTAAGTATAATTATGCAAAGTGAAGTTAAGTATAATATGAATACACTGACCCTATTTATACTAAGTAAAATTCCCATGCAAATAAAAGTATTTGTAGTACACAGCTGGTTTTTATATGCATAAATAGACCTCGTATGCTTTCCAGTATTAGAGGATTATACGCAAATTTTAAGACAATCTCTGAAACATCCATACCGTTGAAGCGTCATTCTCTCATCAAGATTACTTGCAGATCAACTTCACAATATATACGTTTACATTAAAGCGAACATCGCATATGTGTAACTTAGAAATTAATCCACAATCTCAGTAATGTCTAGTGAACATGGTCCTGTGAATCGTACATTCTCACATGTAGGAAACTACAGGCATGAAATATAAGCTGAACATGCCTCAACTCTGAACAGCTATGCACAGTGTTAACAGCATAGAGAAACACTTACAATATTGTAAGATACAGAGACCTGTTGTGTTGATCAGGATGACAATGTCATACAATGCAACCCAGACATTCAGTCGTAATACTGCATCTGTGCTGCTTCGTGTGAATGGAAATTTCAGGAGAAATTCATCTCCACAATTGGTGATCAAAAATATTGCAGCATTATGTATACGGTGTCAGTGGGAATATATAACGGGCAGTCAGTCGGTCGGTCGGTTTTCGACATAGAACTTTGCACATATGTGCGGCATTTCAAGTCGCCACAATCCATGTAGCACACAAAGAAAGAGAAGAAAGTAGGAGAAATGCATTATAGAGACAGTAAACAGAGGTGTGAGACAAAGGAATAGTAATAACGGAGAACAAAACAGTTTAATTGGAAATCATAAGTCACAAGGAGTGGATGCATCTGCACCAGCCATTGAGAACGATTTTGAGCCATGTCACCAATTGTTTCCAACCATTGGTTTTTACCATCCCGAGGACCCCAACCAGGAAGTCTACACCTTCCTACTTGGCTTAGACTAACTGTTGTGGATTTCATTGACTGGTGCCATGTTTTCGTTTGACCGCCGCTAGCTCTTTTCCAGCCTGGCCCTTTATCAGCTAACATTACCCATCGAGGAAGGCGATGGCTAGGCATACGTAACACATGTCCTAACCATCTCAGCCGAAGTAATTTCACCGTTTCGTCGATCGATTTCCCCGCCTTACCTAGCACTCGACCAAGGCCTAACCTCAATATTGCTCACCTTATTATACCACTTCACACGGGAGATAGAACGCAAACACCTATGATCGAACACAGCTAATCTTTTCATGTCTTCTGCTCTCAATGGCCAGGTCTCATAGCCATACAGGAGGACGGAGCGGACTGTTGAGCAGTACACACGCCCTTTGGTCGATGGTCGGATATCGCGTCTACGCCAGAGACTACGTAAACTGGCGAATGCGAACCTAGCCCTCTGTATTCGTGCTGAGATTTTGTCAGAGATCAACCCGTTGGGGCTGATGGTACTTCCCGAGTAAGTGAAGTGGTCAACGTGTTCTACCACCTCACTTCCTATTTCCAATCTAGGGGTTGGTGAAGTCCAATCCTGCAGCATCATCTTACATTTTACAGGGGCGAATCGCATGCCAAAAATTCTTAGATTGCAGCTCAAGGTGTTCAGTAGACTCTGCATTTTGTCAGAGTCCTCGCCTAGAAGGACTATATCGTCTGCATATTCTAAGTCAACGAGATTATTCCCTGGTAGCAAGTCAATCCCTGAGTCGCTGAGGTGTGTTAGGGTTAAGTCCATTAGTACGTCTATGATGAAGATGGTGATGATAGAGCTGACTAGATTCAGTTCTCATAATCAACACAATCCATGTGTATAATAATAATATACACCGAATTAATGCATTAAGTTAAATAGTGAGGAAAATTAAACGAGTAATTACGTTCTCCACTTCACTGCACTTGCAGTAATCATGAGAACCACCCACATTTGTTAGCCTACCAGCAAGCTTAGCAGAAAATAGCACAATATTAGTAATGTAGAGATTATTTATACATTTAATCCTCATAGCCCGTATTGCACTGCACCAATCAATGCAAATATATATTAAATCCACCTAGAGATAACCTATCAACTCACGATAATTCCTGTCCAAACACAGATAAGGTGAAAGACACATCTACATCATAACTTCTGTTTCCACAGAAGGTTCTGTTAGCGTTTACAGGTGATTTCCATGTACTGATAGCATTAACTTGTCAAATGGTACTGTTCCTTACGCGAAAATGGGCTTCGTTGATATCCCGAGAAGTCTTCACGAAATGATAATATGCCGAAAGTTGCAGCTTCTACACAAAGTAGACTATTTGTGTAGATGACATCACCCCTCAACTATCTCATCCTCCTTATTATGGAGATATTTTGAAACAGTCCGCTTGAAACACTAATCATTGTGACTAATATGCTAAGAGTGTGTCGCAGTCAGATCACATGACGCGGACACCATGACTTGTCAGAAAATGAGAATTTCCATCAATCCAGGAAACACATAACACAAGTTGGCGAAGTTAAACTTTCGACACCAATAACTACCAATCAGCGAACGACCTTGAACGGACCAATCACAGGAAAGAGGCGTTTATGATAAGCGGAAACGTATATTAATAGAAAAAGGCATGAAAAAAATGATAAAACGGTTACAATGGGTATCTTTCCCAAACATAGGAGAGAAACATTTCCCAATTCAGCATGGGACCGTCAATAGAGAAGTCGCAGCACATTCTATACATATATTCATCTAAATAACTATAAATGAGATCCTTCTGAGATCCATTTATAGCCCTTATTCTATTTTTCAATCGACCTCAAAATCCTTCAATGGAATTTGTATGAGTCCCTGTAACTGGATCCACGAAATCACTGGAGTGGTTCACTCTGTGATGGATGTATCGCAGGGATGACAATGAATCATAGCCTTTCCACTCGTCGGTGTATAAAATTGATCCCGGTTTCACAAGTCGCTTTATAATAGGTACGAGAGTAGTCGCCTTCCTGCCTGCTATTCTTTCAAAAAATCCTTTTCGGAGGGACGTGTCGTATAAATTAAGGTTAACCTATGACCCAAATGTTTTTCGCTCTCTGACGACCGTGGTTATACTTCTTCACCAACACTGTCTCATCCACATGGACTATTACGTCGTCTCGGCCTAACAACGAAGTAATTCTGCCCATTTTCCATTAGGTGATGTCCCTGCAGTGCTGGTATACCACTGAACTGTTGAGATGGAGGCTGTTCTCCGCCTCGGCAGCAATACCCAGTTATTGAAAATGTACAAAATATGGGCTAGGGAGAGATGCGACCTAGCGAAAATGTTCCTAAGAAATATTGCCCTCTCTAATACTAACTCTTTTCCAACATATTCCACAACGATGGACAAATCCATCAGTTGACCTCGAATAGCTTTTTAGAGTCATAACACCACCACAGGAACACTTTCTCTCCTTTCTTAGCAATCCTAAGTCTAGGCAATACTGCACTACACTATCCTCCTCGAACTGCAAACGTAACCTTGTAAGGGCACGCATTGAAATGAATCAAGCGCTATACAACATTGTACTGCGTTCGTGAATCTGATTGGATAATTCGACGTCATCGCTGATTGGTAGTTATTGGTGTCTAAAGTTTAACTTGGCCCACAAGTTTATTAAAACTAATTCAAAAACCAATTTACCGAGCAAAATTTCAATCAACGTGTCAAATAAGTCCAGCCGATCCGGCTTGCACTAGTTTGTAGAACCGATATTGGACCTAAAACAAGGGTCTGGATTTTTGACTGTTATTCAAGGTCGTCACATTTTCAAACACCAAGTTTACTGGTGACTAGGTTTTTTGATTGCCAGCACTTCGCAGGTATAATTACACTCCAGATTAACAGAGAAATACGGTTCAATATAGTTAATACATCTTAATTACTTGGTTAATTTGACTGCAAGTACTGAATTTCGCACATTATATAGTGTGTTGTCATATGCCAACCCTTTCTCCTCCTATTGATTGATGAGATATTGAACTATATTAGCTTGCAACAAAATGAAGATTGCATTCCTCCTTTCTAGCTGTGGCTCTTGCTGAAACCTGGATTAAAGCTAGGATTTCAGTTGCGAAGACATTTAGAAATCGAAATGAAATGTTTTACAATTATTTTCAAGCTCCTGTTGTGCCACAAAAATATATTTTTCCCTTGTCCGTTTCAGTGTTCCATTTTCTATGCAGCATCTCTTTTTTTTCATTTTAAAAGTTACAATAATGACCCCATAATAATAATCAGTGTTTTTATTCTTCTTTTGCATTCCGTTGTATTGATTGGAAACTCTTATTTCATTAAAGCTCTTTGACGAAGCAAGAAACTTGTTTCCAATATAGTAAAGCTTGTTGTAGTGGCAGTACTTGCTTCTCACTGGAGTGTAATTGTAGCGATTTTTTCTTCTGTAAATCTAAGTATGCGTATAGTTTCTTTTAGGAAATATCAGCATTTCTTTTAATCATACTAGCAAATACTGACGTTTGTTAATCAGCACCCTGAAAATGAGTCTGCTACTTTTATAATGGTCATATGTACAGAGCTCTGTGTAGATGAATCTCTAGAGATTCAGGAAATCTATTATTTCTACTAAGTATTAAATGTTGTGATGTACATTTAGGTAGTCTTCCAGGAAAAAGTAGGCGCTTCTCTTCAAAAATAAACATTGCAAGCATTTAGCAGGGTTTATAAAGTAGATTTTGTGAACTGTTTGACCTAAAGAGTGACTAAAAGCTTCGACGTGAGACTTACACCGCCCTAGTTGTAAAAATTGGATAGCGAATAACAACCAACATAACGTCTTATTTTCGATAGTGGGGCTAAAGTCCTACAGTAATATCAAAATCTACGGCTTAGTATACGAAATACCCTAAGCTAAATTGCGGAGTGTCATGTAGTATGTGAGTTTTGAAATACCATTTCCGAGTTCAACTGTAATTTGGGGACACAAGTTAAATTGGTGTAAGCAGCTCAAATCTATTTTTTAATTTTTTATTTTTTTTGGTTACAGCTTGATTCCACACCGTATTTTCAGTACAAGTATGGAATTTTCAGCATGGATATCGGTAGCCCAAATTTTGCAGGCCGACCATAGATATCGGGTGTGCGTCGGCAGGGGATCGAACCCGGACCATGTACATGGTCAGCGAGAGTCCTAACCACTGTGCCACCTACGCTCAAATCTAATCCCAATTTATAGTATCAAGGAATATCTCATTTAGTTTTACTACATAGTGAAACTAAAAAAAGCCAAATGCAAGTGTAATAAGTCTCGAAAATACGAAACAACTTTCGTTGTCTTTGCAAAATGAGATGAAATTTTGCCGTGAGAAATTACAGTAATCACGAATTTCCAAAATAAAATGGTCACACTATGGATTTTAGGTAAATATGGTTTTGGGTTCAACGTAATTTATATACTTTAAGGTGACAGTGTTGGTTAATCAGTTATCTTCTGACTTTCACTTTATCCAAGTTTGGTTTTTGGATGCAGTCGTCATTTGACCATATTGTCAATTAATCTTACTAATTAGCAATCAACTTCACAAAACAGTCCCACATATTTTATTTGCGTAGAATCTGACATAGTATGCAAAGTGCTACCTCATTGAATTATTTTGTCTGTTTTAGCCGTATGCTCGACCGAATCAAGCTCGAGGCTAGGCAGTTGTCGTTAGTGCCATGGAAAGCCATTCGTTACGTTCTGTTATTTTTCTTCGTAGAGGCCATCACGCTCGTATACGGCGTGATAATCTTCTTCTTACTGTATCACGTTTTCATTCCTACCGTAAAATTGGAGAGAAATTTGGACTTGGTGTTTGAGTACGTTGTCTTCTTAATTTGCGATTTTAATGTCTTAGTACAAATTGCAACGTTCAGATGGAGTATTCCAATGTGTGCAGCTTTCCTAGTGCTAATTTTTCGATTTCAGAAGGTGGAGTGTCCGTTAGTTCTTTTTTCTAAAAGAAATTATGTTTGTAGTTATTAACTCCTAAATACCCTTACATGATCATATTGGAAATGTGGTTGCCAGATTCTTTTCAAAATCGAATTGCAGGTAAGTAATGCTTTCCTCGCACTTCTATTTCATTGTATTAAATTGTGTATTATCCAAATAATCTGACAGTAGATGAAAAGCGACCAGTCGCTTGTTTGAAGGCGAAATCGTACTACTAACGACTACGAAATGTACCTCCAGTAAAAGTTTTTGCAAAGATAAGAGCACCTGTTTTAGGATAGGGGTTTGGAAAATGTTAACGATGAATTAGCGATTTCAATGAGCCATAGTTCAGACGCTAGCGATGAAATTTAGAGTGCCAACCTAAATATAGAATTACTGTATATTTACGCTGACGTAAATTAGACCCTTAAAATAGGTATTCGTCTTCCTAAATCACACAAGTAGCAGAATAACCATTAAGTACCAGTCACTTTCACACCCGTAGCACTTCTAGGGATTCTCTGTACTGTATCTTACTGTTTTATCTACTTTTGCTACCAACTCGACCTTATTTCTAGATATCCTGAATGACAGGCTGAAATGAATATTTTTCTGTAGCCTCACTACATAATGCATGTTGGAGATTTAAAGTCTATATAATTTCTCGACCCACGAGGACCTTGTCAACCAAAAACCTAGAATTACCCATGTGAGGATATACCTATTTAATTCGATTTAAGACATCCTTTTATCCTAAACCTCGATTATCTGTGCATTTGACATTTACTAGTGTGAGATTAGAATTTGATATTTAATTTCCCCGTAGACTTGGTGAGAGAATAACACTAATAATTAAAACAGTTGGTATTGTCTATAAGTGTGTGGTTCTGTGAATACAATTTCAGCAATCATTCGTTTAATGTGGAGAACTTATTAAGCTGTGTTAGTTTATTAATTTTTTGTCAAGTACCCGGGAGCAAAGCACAACCCTAGCTATTTTGGATAAGCTAATTCCCATTCATATGAATTCTTCATTGACTGACTTCATTATAATATTTTAGAGAGAAGTAATCTGTGGTGATGAGGTTTTAGTGCTGAATAGTGGCTATGATATATTTTTTCAAGGAGATTCAATCGATGCTGTTCAGCCCGCTCACAACCGTATTAATGTGGTGTGCCAAATGTAAAATATGATTTAGGGTTATTTATTTTTCAAGTGACATTATCTGTTAAATGCGATATAGATAGCTTAATGGTAACTTCTTGATCTGTTTTAATTATCTTTAGCGTTTGATCTTTATTTATTAGGTATGACTATCATGACTTTAGAACTCTATGGCAAGGACCATGTTCTTGTAGGACAATTCAAAAAACCTGTAAGTTTAACTTTGTTATGCGAGAATCTAATTCCATGTCAATTTGTTTATTGCATGTCACACAGTGAAACAGTATTATTAACTGCATGACGAGATTTTGAACACAATTTATTGTTGATAATCACATTGATTGTAACTACACAACCTCGAAATCTGATTGATCTTAGGTTCGAATCCCGGTGGGTGAGTACTGATGAAGAGCTCCAAACTAGGACGAAACGGCTGTCAAGTACTCCCAGGTTTTCGAGTGGTTCTCTAGCCGATGTCAGCTCATGATAAAATCCTGAGACCAATCAAATCCCTGCACACCAACACTTGATTTTTATAGTTCTCTTTCCTCCTCCCCGTTTTTCGTAGTAGAATTTTCCAGTGTCCAGAAAAATGTCAGATCATTTCTATTGCACGTATTCTCAGTCGATTTGATAAATAAGGCTTCAGTGGGCAATCTCTCCCTTCACTCTGGCACATTAGATTTTAATAATGTATGTAGTACTTTAGCCTAGCTGTTTTCTGGATTTTTTATCTTGTCAGACTCGACTAATCTCGATTTTGCTGGGTTTTTGTGGTCCAATAATCTAGTTGACCCTGTCCTACTACTTTGGCCTATGAATTTGACATCACAGTTGTTACAGAGTATTAGATAAACTGTTGTTATCATTATTTCGCTTATTGGGCTCCACAGGATCTTTTAACCGACGTAATTTGTTTCTAAGTGAGTCTGTGGTTTCCAATAACACTTTTGTCCTTGCTTTGTTAAGAATTCTACGTAAGGTCTCAGGGGTTCTCTCTTTGTATGGAAGCACTTCTGCTGTTTTCAGTTCTATACTGTTGGTGGTGTCATCTTCCTGTGTATGTTTGTCATGCATATCTTCCCCGTTACTATTATTAATTTTATTCTCAAAACTTCTTGTATGCCTCCTGGCTAATTTATCGGAGTAGTTAAATTTCAAAGCTTCTATTAAATGTCTCACTTCCTGCCTTAAATTATCGCTAGTACTATTTAGTTTTTCTGCCATATTACTAAAAAACTTCACTAATCCTTTTTCTTACTGACATGAGGTGGGATGAACCGAAATTCAAATATCGATTTAGATTTGGGTTTTCTGTAAACACCAGTGTTCAACTTCTCATACTGTTTTCCTTTTTATGATACAATCTAACATTTGAAGTTCCCTTTCATGACTTTTCAACTCATAAACGAATTAGATCACGTCTACCTTTGACTTGATGTGTTCGAAAAACCTGTTGATATCGTGTGCTTTTAGTACTGCGAATGTGTCTTCCACACACCTCCAACGTACTTTTGGGGTTGGAGCTGAACGTTTCAAACGTTGAGTTTTCTCACATTCTTATAAAATTCTATCCATATTTAAATTCCTCAAGCAATAATTAGATTGTTTTCCTAAAGCTATTTTACTCTTATTTGTTCAACAAACAATTGCATCTCATATTAATACGATTGTTTTGGTATTTATCAATGTATTTGAAATAGCATTTGGTTCACCTACTAAGTTGGTTTTGAAAACAAAATCATCTACGAGTACTGTTAACGTTGGTAACGAATGGACTATATAACCGATGCCAAACAATATAAATAGCTAAAAAATTACTTAACATTACCTTCAAACTTCACTAACCCGACCACAGTGGCCTTAACATTAAGGGGATAAGTAAACTGATTGAGTCTGTGAGCCGAACATATCAACTTAGGTCTGAAACAGCAACAATCGATAGTCTGGCATTTTGTTAATTCTTATATATCCAATTAATTGTATAAATCAGTTCAAATAGTTTCTAATTTCAAATATTATTTTAAATTATTACTCTTTGTGTTTATACATACCTTTAACTTTTTCTTTTACTTGTGTGCTATCCATGTTTATATGATTTCTGTACATAAAATATCAAACATCCTGGTCATCACTTCAGCATCAGCGTAACATATTTGCTATAAAAGTAAGGGTTCTTAATTAATAATTCTCATATGATATAATTGCGGAGATGTAGCTCATTGGCTTTAGCACTTAATTTCCAGTCATTGAGCTCAGGATTTGAATTCCACTTAACCTACTTCAGCCTGAGTGACTTGTAGTACCATCAGCCGTGTCTTGTCAGGTGCATAAAATAGATCTGTTTGCTGTAAATGAGTCCAAAATATGATTCAATTGGAGAGTATTATATAGGACGAAATTCACTAAAAGAGCTTTTAGAGTAAATAAACATATATAGAATATAAGTGTTCCTTAATATATTTGAGTGTAACTCACAGTGATCACTAACCTTGTTATCATGAGTAATGGTATACCAGCTACATATTATTTTTATCAAACTATTTATTTATTTCATTGTCTGTTGATTTTTGCCACCGAGTTTTGTATTGCTTTAGTTTCTCTTTTACCATTCTAATCCTTATTCATTTATTCCCTTTGAAAGTAGTATGATGTAATCAACCAAGACAGTTCAATTCACTCATTATATCATTAGTACTATGTGATTTCCATAAATCAAAACTGGTGTTATAGCGTTGGTTACATTTATCCTGAGGAATCGAATGTATAATGACATTTTTAGATCAGTAATCTCACATTTGAAAATCCCTGAATCACTCTACTTCACTCTGTTTTGCTTGAAACTGTATTTTGACGTCACAGACAAAAAAAAATAAATAATGTGCGTCGGTGGTACAGTGGTTAGGACTCTTGCCGACCATGCACATAGTCCGGGATTAGATCCCCTGCCGACGCACACCTGATATCTATGGTCGGCCTGCAAAATTTGGGCTACCGATATCCATGCTGAAAATTCCATACTTGTACTGAAAATACAGTGTGGCATCAAGCTGTAATCAAAATAAAAATAAAATAAATATAGATTTGTAATTGACTAAAGTTGTCAAAATTCACACAAACACATTGAAAGGAAAGTCAGCAGGAGGAAAAAGAACAAAATTAATCAGTTGATGTTGGATGGTTGGAGTTAATTGGCAAGAAACCCTGAACCTTAGGTTTCGTGCTTGTTAGCACTCATCAGCAAGGCGCATCTGTAATCATTGAATAAATTCATGTGGACTCAAACCTGCGTCACCCAGCGCTGCAGTTAAAGATATTACCACTGAGCTATTCGGGCTTGCGATTAACCTCCTTGTAGGGATGTAATGGATACTTTGACTGGTCACAAAATAGTAACCAATGTCATGCATCTAAACTTTCGTTTGATGCAGACTGAATTCTGTCAGTACGAGTTGTTACGCTTATTGTCTACCCATCAAGTAGGAGGAATAAGAATTATGAGGTGAAAATAATATAATTATGCGTTATATAGCTGTAGTCAATGGTGTATCTATTTCATAACTATGAAGTTGTGACTCACTGACTTAAGCACTAGGTTTTCAGTCAATGAATCACAAGTTCGAGTCCTGCCTAATCTACTTAAGCATGGGCAACTGGGAAGTCTTGTCAGCCCTCACACGATAAGTGTGACTTTTAGCCTAGTACCTGCAAAATCTGTTCCGGGTGATTGAGCTTAAACATAACAATCTCATAATTAGGTAATTCACTGTTTGAAGCTACAAACATCCTTTCCATTTATCTTTATCCATAAATACTGATGAAAAAAATACTCCATATTCACATTGTTGTATATTACTACTCAAGATGACATCGAAACTGACTTTCTAAATATTGTTTAAATAAAACAACTCAAAATTGGAGGGCAATTTAAATCAATCTGCAAATATTTTCCACTATACTGACTTCTTAACTTATTGTACATCATATTAATTTCCATCTTCTTATTATATCCACGAAATGAATATTGGTTGGTAGTTTAAGTGTTAGGCACAATTAAGCATATATGAATGAACTCTTTCTCTAAGTTCATTTTATCTTCACTTATTTAATGTTAATTTAATAGAAAATAATAATCATTTAAAAATTACCTTCATTGAAATGAGATTTTATTTTATTCTCTAGATTTAATCATATAGGCTAAAGGTAAAACAAAAAAAACTGTGAAACGTTTAGCATGACTAAAGTGTAGAGTTACTTATCACTATTTATATAGTCTTTCACACGTGTATGTATGTCTGCATTTGTCAATAAATATATACAGATTGCAGTAACATGTAGACATTTTTAGTCAATTATGACATTGTGCTTAATTTTTACAGATTAATTATAATTGTAATCTCAGCAACCAGCCTCTATAGTTAAATACACACTAGCAAGTAGTACATGACATAAGAGTTATGATTTTTTATACGCTTATTAGAATTTTCTACAAACTGAAGTATTCACTCATATGATCTAGATTGCTTAGAGAAGTCTAGATACATATAACAAAGAAGATTTATAACTCAGGTGGATAATATTGATGTAGTTTTGTTCTCTGTGCTGGATGATTTAATTGTGAAGCTTTAATTGTCTTTGCAGACAACATCTTCAGCGAATACTCCAATTTGAAGTATGCGCTTTTAGAATTCTTCACGAGTTTATCAGTCATCTCTTCTGGTAACCTTAAACGTGATTTGTTGTTTCTGGATATTTTTTTTTTCACTCTCTAGTCCATGTGTATTGGTATTGGTTGGCTGATCTGAGAACTCTTCAAATATATCTATTTTGTTTCCAGCTTAGTTCTTCTTTGTTGATTGACGGGTTTCAGTAATACAAATGAAATAAAAAAAATATCCTTCAGTTTGTTTTGTATTGTAGAATAAATGGGTAGATCATTATTTCCAACATAAGAACTATCATTACTATATAGCAGTCCAGGTCGCTGCATAGCCCTTGGCATGCGAGTGCTAGGTAATGAGGGGAAATCAATAGACCAGGCTGTGAAGTTTCATCGACTGAGATGGTTAGGACATTTGTTACGCATGCACGCCTAGCCATCGTCCTTCCTCGACAACGGGCAATGTTAGCTGACATAGGGTCAGATTGGAAAAGAGCCAGTGGTGGTCAAACCAAAACATGGCTTCATTAGTCAATGAAACCCACAACAGTTAGTTTAAGTCACGTAGGAAGATGTAGACTTCCTGGTTGGGGTCCTCAGGACGGTAAACACCGATGGCTGGAGGTAATTGGTGATATGGCTCAAAATCGTTCTCAATGGTGCAGATGCATCCACTCCTTGTGACTAATACCCAATAAAACTACATTGTTCTTCGATATCGCTATTCTTTTTGCCTGATATCTCTGTTTATTGTGTTTATTTTGTATTTCTTTTTACTTTCTCCTTCTTCTCTGGCTTTGTGTGCTGAGTGAAGTATGGTGACTCAAACTGCTGCACACTGGTGCAAAGTTCTATGTTGAAATCAGACAGAGGGATAACCCTTGTGTTTTTACACATGAAATAGGGAGAATAAGAATCAAGAGGTAGACGTAATATAATCAAAGATCATAAAACACCATAAAATGAAGCAGTTGAAGAGGTGTAATGTTAAGGTTAAGTACGGTTGTTTTTATTTAATCGCAATCAGTTCTAAACTATGTGATTTAAAGTTTTCAGCCGTATGCTACGGTTGCTACATAGACTAGGGCCGGGCATTGTTTTTGGTTAGATTTAACGTATGGATATCGGTTAGCAAATCAGCGAAAGTTGGTTTGAGATTCAGCTATATGAAGAACAAGCGTATCTATGTGAAAGTCTAGTTTAAGGTTACTAGAAAGGTTTATATTAAATTCTAATGGAATGTCTAATGGATTCTGCTACTGATAATTGCAACTTTTACAGCTCCTGGCTGTACTTATATAGTAGGCAGCTTTATTTGTTCGAACAGTTTGATTTCGTGTTTAATTTATCTTCTTGAATAATTCTTTCTATTTAACAGTTCTCTTTACCCTATCGTTCTAATGAGGTCCGAACGATCAGCAATATTCTTTTTGCACCGTTGTATATAATTGGTAAAATGAAAGAGGAAATACCATTGGAAATTGAAATGGCATCTAATTTCCAGTTTGATACGGTTAGTCAGCTGCCCTTTTATACATGATACAATCTTATTTTATCAAACAATTGCGTTGATTATTTACAATTTTTGAATTTTAAAATGCATGCTAATCATATGACTACTACTAGATAAAATTGATTTTACCCACAGGACATTGGATAATGGACAATGAATGACAGACAATTGCACAATCCCTACTATCACACCTGTCAGACTGGATAACTATTTAAATTAAATGTGATCTTCAGCACTGTTGTATACCAACATGATTATATATGAGATATTTTTGGGGAAAGGGTTATTAAATGACCTATGCATAGCCTCATGAGGAAAGATTAGTGCTAGAGGTGGTAAAAAGAACATGAAAAATAAAAAAATATACTTACACAATAGCCAGATATCCAAATTTTAAGCTGGTTGGTACACGTCGTAAAAAAACAGACTTCTACTTTTGTGTAAAGTGCTTGACAAGCTTTTGTTATTTAAGATACAAACTTGGTACAGTATGGAGACTAAAAGTTGTGCCATGCAAGGCAATAAAACAACAGCATAGGAAAAAATGGAAACAGCTGAGGATAGACCACCTCTCCTCTTTTTCATTCAGTTATAGGGCTAGCAAAGAATGATTAGTATGAAGGCGTTCTTAACGCACATCTAAGCCACCAAATCCAGTGTCCTAAGATAATATCACTTATTAAAAAACGGTCTCAGAATTACTTACATAGCGATATCATCCTGTGCAAGCAGTTCTACGAAGCCAGCGATCGCCAAAATCGCACAGTCGTTAGATTTTAGAGATCAGGTTGCATAGGTGTACAACGAGACTGCGCACATTAGGTCTTTGTAAACTCATATTTAACGGCCAAACTAGTATCCCGATGACACCGGAGGTAGTCCATGTTGCTGTATATCGCCTTGGCTTTCCCTATACGATTGAAAATGCCGCCTGCATTCATCATATAGCAACTTACTGGATAAACTTCTCGACTATTAACAGTGCTTCTGCGAGGACAGTTGAAAGTAAAGGCTCCTAACAATCTTGCAACAGCACTTTACATGCAGACAGTGCAAAGACAGTTGTGGCCAGCTGACTGAGATTTGTATAGCCCACTTACACACAATAAAACAATACCGTTTGAATATTCTTTCTCCGGAGACCAACACAACAACCACACATAAGCTTCTGGATGATAAAACTGCACTGCTTGTTGAGAACAGTGATAATAGCTGGTTGTATGTCCTCATTCCACCTGAGGTGTTTTATAAAAGGTATTGATAAATCTCTCAGGAACACCTCTCGCTAATACATTGTCCTAAAGATCAGGCGTGTCCAACGTTTGGAAGGCAGACCTAATATCGAGAACGATTGCTAGTGGGTGAAAGCATTCTAACAACCGGCGTAGACCGAACGTATGATCGATGCATTCACGGTATACATGAAAACCAGCTTGCTTTTCACTAGTCAGTCTTTCATGAGTTTACAAAGCTTTCAAAACATAACTGCAACCAGTATTTTAGATGCAACTGGTTACAGAATAATTCTCCAATGACTGTTGCATGCATTAATAAATAGGGCTTTTCCAAAGACAGGGACAGCATTGGCTTCATTCTACATTGATAGGATACTCTCATTTAGCTGAACTTTCGTAAACAATCCCATCAATTCCCTGATTAAAATCTTACCATCTTCAAAAAGATCCAAGGCAAGTTTTCTGGACCGAGTGCCTTATGGTATTTGAGTACCTGGAAGGTTAGCTACTAGCCTTGAGTCTATCTCAGTTTGATGCTTTTTAGTAGTGGTTGATACATCGCTTTATTTACGTCAGTCTGTTTAGCACGACCTTTAGTAGATTAGGATAAACTGATAGTCGAGAAAAGCGATTTAAAATATCGAACACTGGCTATGCTTTTCGAAGTGTTCTATCCAACGTTCAAGACGTCCTTGTACGTTGTTAACCGTCATGCTATCTGCCTAACAGACCGTCTCCCTAACACTGTGCTTCTTTCTCCTGATTGCTCTGATTAACTGGAACAGCTTTAGACTTTTGCTAGATGCAGCTACTGATCCCATCTCACATGCATTCTTTGACTACGAGGTTTATGTAAGCGCTGTCTATACAGCATATTATGACTCTGGAATGAACCAATGGGCGTTGATGAAACGGCTGGCAAAAATAAAGATGCTAACAAACGTAAACAATGAAAGAAATAAAACGAGACAGTTTATGTACGTGGATAAGAATATGATGGTAAGGAATTAAATGACTGATAAAGAAGCAGGTACAATAGGTTGCGACAACGGAGAGATGAATTGAAGCTAACCATCAAACTGTCCTTCAATATTCATATGAGATCTGAAATACTGACTAAACTACTATGTTGAAGCAGATTGGTCTTTAGGGAACCGCTCTCAAAGGCATGGTTTCTGGTGACCGGAACGTGTTCATTTTTTATGACCCTAGATACTCATATATCATTGGTTTAGAATCAAAGCTTTCCAATTCTTCTACGTTAACCCTACACTAGTCTAGTGATTACAGGTGGGCATTCACATTCATCTCTTCACTTTGTCACTGCGAGTGGGTAAGAAAAAGTCAGCCCGAAAATTGCACATCCCCCACTTTCCAAAAAAGCTTGTGTTTTGTCAACTTCGAACATTTGCCTCCTGAGCTCTGCAGTTACGCAGCACTGATGCTTTCTCTGCCTCAGACACTCGAAGAAATCATTGTCGGTAACTACGAAGTAGCTGCCACCCATAAGCTTCTATACACACAGTCCGTCTCTTCATCATATATCGTATTCATCTTTCTCTCCCTTTGTTAGTACCAGTCTCAGAAAGTTTGCGACCATTGGTAGTGACTAAAGTGAGAGGTATCTATTCAAGACCAAACGCCCTAGCCCTCCCCCCCCCATTCTCACCAGACTGACCTCATAAATCCATAATACTCACCTTACAAATGTTAAGACATTCCACTGATTTTGTAAACTCCTTGTTGTAAATATAGTACGGAACTCAAGAGCTATCTCAGATTCATATAAACAACTATCCGCTAGAATCTAATCGAATTGAGTTTTCTGCCCTATCAAACAAGCGTAAATGGTTGGTCACCACTGTTTATAAAAAAGGAAGCTTATCCTGTAATAATCATGGGAGTGCTAGGTTGACTGAGATTATATATTTCTAAGTAGATGTGTCCTGTGCAGACATTCTTTCGGGTGTGAAATATCATCACTAAAAGTACATGGGGAGGAATCAACGGCCTTTGACCGTAGGCGTTGAGTTACCGTACTACTTAACGAGTGACGTTGGCTGAAACAACACTAAGTTGGAAACATAACACCAATGAATGTAGCTGTTAAGTGCTAGTCTGACCCACGTGGGTGTAAACTGTGTAGATGGGATCATCAAGTAACTAAAATCGTTTATAGTGACGCAGATGTATCTACTCTATGTTGCTTTCCAGATTCAAAAATGTCCATTGGTCTTTGTTTAATTCCTCTGTTCCCTGTAGATCTTTGTCCACAGTTAATTCGTTAGGCTTTTCGTTGGTTTGCATTTTGTTAAGTGTAGCGAAGTGAACTATTCTACTTTTGTACAGAGTTTTACGTTTTTTATTCAGCCCTTACTTCATCGACTGCATAAGGTAGTCATTCTCTGTTTCCAGATAATACGTGGTATGAGAGTGACATGTAACACTGTTGATAGGCACGTTTACTCTTCCGATCTACTACAAGACAGACAAACTCGTCAGACAATCGTAGTCATTGTGGCTTTTATAGTCACAAAAACTGTAGCCGCGTTAAACAGATACTATTTTTAAATATTTGTCATACAACTATATTAATTTCGGTTAACTCTTACTCTAGGTTCAACCAATCTTGGAGGGTCGCGTTATTTTAGAATCCAAGCGCTATTTATGGTCATCTTTAGCGCTAAAAATTCAAACAACTCTAGGTGGAATACACAGCATTTTGTATTACTATCCACAACTTTCCTTCATCATCTGCGTTTGTACAGTAATACTCCTTATGAACTTGGTGTATGTTGCCCTTGCAATTTTATATATTTTTCGTGAGTTTTCCAATAAACCAGAAACTGTTGAAGTCCCTAAACCCGAAGATGAACTGAAATTTGAGCAGTTGGTTGGAGAAATTAAACCGGAAGACATTTCATTCTGAAACTACCATAAACCTCTGTGAATATCAACTGTCTTTCATGTACGGTTTTTAATTTAATAATCCATTACTACTGTCAGAACTCTTAAACTTTCATCCCATATTTTTAATGATTTTGAAAAAAAATAAAACTGCTTAATGTATTTGTCTTTGAATTCTTCCCACCTAAATATAATTCGTTTTATTGGTAACAGTTACGGGATTCGTAGGTATTAGTGTTTCGCAGTAATTTTAGAAATATTCAAATGGAGATATTGCCGTTTTTTATCGTCATACATAGGAAATACTCCCTATACGATTTTTGGAATATATTCCGGGAACTGTGTGAGGTTTGGCAGGCGATAAATGCATATTAAGATGCAATAACTACACAACTAAAAATACACAATAATTGCTTTTCCAATGCTGCAAAGTATTGTACAATTTATTCGCGCAGTACGACTAATTCATATTCTGAATTTACTGTTTACCACCTAATTATCGACGCTTGACAATTATGTCAGATGCAAAGAGTAAAAATGAAATGCATAAGCACATTTACAGCGGTTGGATAATATTCATAACGATAAGGCTCTTGTTGATTACCTTTTGTATAAGAATGAAAATCTCAAAAAAAGATAGAACTGTTTAGACATACTTCAGTTGAAAGTAACATCTGCTAAATGTCAAAAACTGGCTGTTTCCTCGTTTACATTGGTCACTGATTTGTATCTAAAGAATTTACTTTAGACACATTATAGCTGGGAGCTTTATTTTAATTGTACTCATCTTAAACGCACACAAAAACACCCTTGTTAATAAAAACTTAAATGGTGTTACTCAACAACCATATGCATGTTAATGTACTTGGTAGTTAACTACATTTAATGTTTAGGTGGACGAAAGTTGGAATGCATGATGCATACTGTCACTAAATGCTTACAAGCGCCGACATGCTCAAAGAATAGGCCCAGGTCTGCTTGCTAAATGACACCTAACAGTGAAAAAGGCAGTAGTGTCCCTTAGTTGAGAAATCATATTGGATACAGAAACAATATACTTCTACCAGAAAAGCTAGGTCTAAGTGAGCACGTTGGTATTAGGATGTTATGGAAATTTCGGTGTTCAGTCAAATTCGTTGAAGGGATTGTAGCCATCTTACAAAGAGAAGTCATGATTCAGGGCTCTGTGAATTCTTTCCTTTTGATGATGATAAATCTAAAACCAAACTGTTAGTATGTTAACAAAAATATCACAGCGTGGAAATATTGTTTTACTCAAAAGGTTACGTTCACACGTAAGAATCTTTAAAGTGTTAAATGTACTGTTTAAAAGAAGTAAAGAAGCTTAGTTTGAATTTCGAGTGGTCAGGAGTATATTTGGTTACTCCTACTTGTTAGCAAACAATGTCTACAGAGATGTGCAATGACAGACAAGGTACTTTAAAATACTCGTGCTAGGCATATCACCTATCACATTTAATATAAATAATCATCTGAAGGAATGCAAAACTCGACTGGACACATGGCAGAGTATCTAATGTTTAATGGGACTGAATATAGTAAAGTAAGATTAAAGGTTAGGTACAGTTAGTAACAGCTATGACACCACTCGTGACAACCAGGTAACTAATTATTATACCTATATATATATATCATATAGTAATAGTTATATTATATATATATATATTTCTTAAATTACCACCTAGAAATAGCTGAAAAGTAGGTCGGGAAACACAGCCATCAGTCGTAACATCGAAATTGACACTACGAAGAGCACAAAGTAAAAGGTTTTATGTGTTAATTAGGCGTTTATTAGTCAATAATTCCATCTAAAAATTCAAACTTCTGAATCAGCTTAACAGTATTCTGTACATGCAATTTGGAAATAGTCTTTTTCCCATCTTGAAGTGTTACTTCACGAACGCTACCACAAAAATCCTGCACGAATTGTTCACAAAGGAATCCAATAGCCACCAACGCCTCAATGTTAACAAGGTTGACGGATGGCACTGTCTTCACAATTGTCTTTATTCGAGACAGAGGAAACTTCACAAGCTTTTCAGGAACACTCACAGTTGTGACATCTGAAACTTTATTTAGATGCAAGAAGCCATACCTTCTGTATGCAGCTGTTCATCACCGTCAGCAAACGACATTATTCGAACCCGCCAAGGTCGAAGTCCTGCCTTGAAAACCCGCCACCGCCCCAATTTAACCACTCTTGAAATATTTAAACACAACTTCATTTGTTATCTGTACAACTGGACAGTAATAAACACAATTATATATTGATAAAATTCGTCATAATAACAATAATTAAGGTTCTCAAAAAGACATACTTTTGGTCAATCTTTTAATTTAGCAATAGCTGAAAATACTGTTACAAGTAATAAAAACATTATTTTATCTCCTGAATGCATCAGGCGATGAAGCTGTATTTTTTACTGGATAACGTTTAAAAGCTAGGGGACTGCTAATAGTCATATCATATTGAAGGAACAACATGGAATGTCAGTTTTGATATTTATCGTCCCTACTGTCTACTTCACGTAAGGTTGTGGCCGAATAAATTCTAACTAGCAGTTTAGACAGTGAAGGAATTAAAGTGGGATTCAGAACTACAAATCAGCTTAAAACAGTTTGTTTCAGCTGATGAATCCTGTGTAGTCAAAACGAAGAAATAATGTTATCCATTAATTTGTAATGGTAGGCCGGTTAAATACGTCTGGGGCAATTAAACTAGCGTATTGGAGAGGCTTAGCAAGATCAGAACTCGTCCAAAATCCAATATCCTGATTACGAGCTAGTATAAACCAGTGATTTCTTTGAGCTCGCTTCTTGATTGTAAGGTAGAGGTTCCAGATCTTCGGTGAACTTATGCGTAGTAAATCCCGCCACTCGACTGCTTTAGCTCTGGTAGACTCCAAGAGGAGTGGTGCGAGGATTGGTCAAGATTGTGGTTTGTACTGTGCAGTATGTTAGAACTCAGCTGCTGCCGTGAATGGAGTTTGACCTAACACCCGTTGGTCATTCGGTATAGTCATAAAAGTAGAGTAATAATAATAGGTTGTAGTGTAGATAATATAGGTTGAGATAAGTGAAATAATAAAGAAAGAAAGAAAAGAGAGAGTAGTCGGTACAGTGGGAGAAGACAGGACGGGTCGTGGGGATTTAGCTTGTATGCTTATCCATTGAAAATGTGGTTTCAAATTTTAAGGGGGTAAGCCATTGAGACACAAACCATGCATTTCTGCATGATTGATTGTCCAGCTTCCGCTTAAAAGTCTCCACAGATGGAGCTGTAGTTACGGCCGCCGGTAAAGCGTTCCAGAGACGGCAAACTCGAAGCGAGAAGAAATGTGAACGCACTCGAGTCCTTGGTCTCTGGTGTGCTATCCTTAGTGGGTTACCTCGTGGAAGCCTATAATCACTTAATGGCAGGATGCTCTTATTAGGGAGGGCCTGGTCATTTAGGATCTTATAGACGGTGATGAGGTCTCCCCTGTGACTACGGTAACTAAGTGTGAAAAGACTTAATTTCTTCAGTCTCTCCTCATATGATTTGTTGCGGAGGCCGATCACCCATTTTGTCGCTCGTCTCTGGACACTTTCTAGAATGTTAGCATCCCTTTTGAGTAGCGGAGGAGCAATGATATTATGCACCTCAAGGAGTGGCCTCACGTATGTCGTATACAACGTTAGGAATAGTTCAGGAGTAAGAGCTCCCAGCTGCCTATGCATAAAGTGTGAGGTTGCGTAAGCTTTGGCGACGTCCCTCGTGTAATTTACACTGGTGTCTAGCTTTTCTGTTAAAATAAGGCCTAGGTCGCGTTCTGATGGCACACAACTCAAGTTCTGGCCACCAAGGGTGTAATTTGCACTCCGTGACCTGCCGGAATGAAGTTGCACTACTTTGCACTTCTTTAAGTTGAAAGGCATTCCGTTAGCCAGAGCCCAGTCCCCCAGCGTTTGCAGGTCAGCCTGCAATCTGTCGGAGTCTTCCGATGAGTTTATTGCTCTCCAGATCTTTACTTCGTCAGCGTAAAGAAGCGCAGAGCAGTTCAGTTGACAGGGCAGGTCGTTGATAAAATCAAAAACATCAACGGCCCTAAGATAGAACCCTGAGGAGCCCTGATGCCGAAGTGTGCCAGGATGATCGGATGCGGTTGACTTTGGTGCAGGATTCTCTTTCGCCTAAATAATCTTCCAGCCATGCGAGAAGTGCTCCAGAACCCGCTTTGCTTATTTTGTGAAGAAGCAGACCATGGTGAACTGTTATCGTCGGACCAAATGAGATGAGAATTCGAAAAGCAGCTCACTTATGGAGTAACATGAAGTTACCCGACCACAGAAGACGATTGTACAAGTTAACGAGCATAAATTTAATGTGTATGTGAGTCTAGGAAACCAATTATTTAGTCTCTTCTAGTGGTTTTGACCTCGTCTTTTGTAGGCTTCAACTATAAATAACGCTCATGATTTCCTTATGGCTATCAATCCTGCTAGAATTGGACTCCAGCCACACTTCCTGCTGACTCTTCAGCCTGGCCCATCTAACATGGTGACCAGGCTGCCGATAGCATCGACCCAACTAGCGAAGGAATAATATAACACCTATGGCTGCTCAAAGACGTATTTGTCGACGACGACTTAAGGGAGTATACAGCTGAATGCCCACACCACAATGAAGCTGCCGCACTTTAGTCAATTGAAAATTATCTCGATCTCCGAGTATTTCAATCCGCACTGGTAAACTAACTGATCGTTGAGGGTGAGGCGGCTGAGTTTCGTTTGACTTGAGGAGCTCATCTGATCCCCTAAAAGAGAATTATCAGGTCGACTCAGATAAACTTGCAGTAGGAATGTTTCAACACCTGTCTTGGCAACTGAAAAATTCAATCACATCACGAAAAATGTGGAAGATGATAGCGTTTCAGAGGTAGGATAAATATAATAAATTTAGCCACACTTCAGATGTTTTGAATTCAGTTATCAATTTGTTTAACTATACTGGTGGGATTAGCGGGATATAGATTTTCACTGAAGAAGAGCGTTAGTACTGCAGGGTGCTCTGATTATTCAATTCCATACCAGCTCAATGCTGTGATCACCTAGATGTATCTTTGATCAGCATTAA